ATTGAGTATTTATAGCCTTGAGAAGCGTGCAACTCTCTAGGTTTAAGGTAAACCTAGGGCTGATCGGGCCTCTAGACTGGATTGGGCCTTGATGGCCGGTTTTCCCATTTGGCATGGGTGGACACGTGGCGTGTCTAAATTGGTCCGTAGAGGACGTATCTGTGATTGACACGTGGCAGGTTCCTGTTGGCCTTCGTGAAGGACACGTGGCGGAACCTGGTTGGTCCACTTGTCAGACGGTGATTGGTGGATAAAAATCCCCTAATCAGTAGTAGTGTAGTAGTAGTAGGAGCAGTAGTAGTAGGAGCAGGAGTAGTAGGAGCAGTAGTAGTAGTAGCAGTAGTAGTAGTAGGAGCAGTAGTAGCAGTAGGAGCAGTAGTAGCAGTAGGAGCAGTAGGAGCAGTAGTAGCAGTAGGAGCAGTAGTAGCAGTAGGAGCAGTAGTAGCAGTAGGAGCAGTAGGAGCAGTAGTAGTAGTAGTAGCAGTAGGAGCAGTAGTAGTAGTAGTAGTAGTAGTAGTAGTGGTGGTAGTAGTGGTGGTAGTAGTGGTGGTAGTAGTGGTGGTAGTAGTGGTGGTAGTAGTGGTAGTAGTAGTGGTAGTAGTAGTGGTAGTAGTAGTGGTAGTAGTAGTGGTAGTAGTAGTGGTAGTAGTAGTGGTAGTAGTAGTGGTAGTAGTAGTAGTAGTAGTATAAGGTTTCAAAAAATAATTATATTACTACTACAAAGCAGCAGCAGCAACAACAACAACAACAACAACAACAGTGTTACAAAAAATATTCATATTACTACTACAAAACAATAAAAATTACATTAATTATCAAAAACTTAATCACAACAACAATCGAAATTAATAAAAAGCAGTAATTTATTTAATATTAAAAAATTCTGGAAAAGGAACTCAAGATCCACTACTATTATTAAACCGATGTGATGGACTCGGGATATTCACGTCGTACTACTTTGAAAGGACCGTTTGATAGAATGTGTCCATGTAGAGAACAAAGTCCTTTTTATAGTACAACTTGTATAAAGGGCATATTTGTCCATTCAACTTAAAATGAGAGCGTTACTATATAAATTGGGACCGACGAATAGCAATCCACTTTATTTTTCCTTAAAAAGAAAAAAAAAATCTTCCTTTATTGGGGCCACCTCAAATGGGCTTTTTAGAAGCTTGACACGAGTTTAAATCTTGCGGCCAATTTAATCATGCAGAGGCTCAACCTTACACTTTGAGGTTCAACTTTATTTTGGTCGTGTTCGGTGAATAGTTTAAAGTTGAAAGGTGAAACTGATTATCTTATATGATTTTGACTAGCTGATTGTATTAACTGATTTAACTAATTTATTTTATTTGCTAACTGTATAAAATTGTTTGGTAAATAGCTGATATCTTATATTTGGTTGAGTATGTGAAATGATCAATAAGCTAATTGTGTGGTAGGTAATTTAGGTATGATTTTAAATTAAATGGGTTTATAAATGTCATTTCACCATAAATTAATGAATAAGATAATTGAAAAAGCTCTTAAAAGAAGCTTTTTCAAAAAGAGCTTATTTAGTGGAATAAGCTCTTCAAATAAGCTTCCCACCAAACACCTTGAATGAGCTTATTTAAACATAGCCTTTGTCTCAAGAGAGTGATAGCTTAAGTTGTTGGAGTTTTCCTCCCGGTTCCAATAGATCCTATGATCGATTCTCACCCCTGCCCTTGTGGCTCTCTAAGCACCAAAAAAACTTTATTTTGCCGAAAAATTTGAATAATTTTGGCCTTATTTGCCAAATAATGAAACTTAAATTATTTTATTAATTCTTCATTTTTTTTTCTTTTGTAGGATTTTTTTAAGGCAAAAATAATTAATTGTTTTTAATTGAACTAATTTTTACTAAATTGAAATTATTTTTATAGAAGCGAAAATACTTTTACTAAATAGATTTTTTTTTTATTATTAAGATGAAGAGAATAGGATTTAACACAAAATACTCATTTGTTTGCAACATACAAAGCATGTGAAAGTATTGTGTAGAACGAACTCACGTGAGTCCGGTCATACAAATAGAAAAAAATAAAATTCTTAATTATCAGAAATTAGATAAGTTATGAATATCAGATATTAGATTAAAAGTATCACAAACTAGATAATAATGGTCAGATATTAGTTTATAATTATTAGATATTAGATTATAAGTGTCGGATAATAGGTTTTAATTGTCAGAAATTAGATTATAATAGTTAGTTATTAGTTTATAATTATCAGATATTAGATTGTAATTGTCAGAAATTAGATTATAATTATTAGATATTAGATTAAAAGTATTAGAAATTAGATTATTATACTCAAATATTGGTTTATAAATATCATATATTAGACAATATTGAGAGAGAAAGAGGAACATACTTGTAAGTATCATATTTTTACTAAGTATTGTACTTACAAGCCCAACTTACAACTAACCTCTAATGTGTAACACTCATGCAAGATTGCAAGATGTCAATGGAGAGGGGCAATTTTGTTATTACTATCCTCATCTTGGTCTCATAATTTCATTTCCATCCTCGCCCCACTAGGTATAGAATTAAAACATCCTTCCCCCATCCCTCACATAGGTGTCCACCACTTCCTTCCACGCTTTTCTCACCCCATCACCCATAAAATTTCCAAATCACACCTCATTTAAAAACAATATATTAAAAGATAAAAAATTATAATGACCCCAAAAATATTAGTAAAATTGTTAATTAGCTCTTCAATTATTAAAAAAAAAGGGAGGGGGGAATAAATACATCTAAACATCACAAATAAATTTCTTGTGCTATAAATGATGTAAATAAAAGTTAAAAATAAGTAAAACTATATCTAATTGTGGGGATGGTAGGGCAAAGTAGGTATGGGGCGAGGCGGGTATGGGGTGGGCACAACTTAAAATCCTTCCCTCACGATGGGTTCAAAAATTAACCCCATCCTAGCCACCAAGCTTGAATCCAACTTGGGCTGGGATGTGGCTTTCACCGCCGAATTAACATCCTTAGCAATGGTCAAACAATGAGCCCATTAACTAATTAAATAAATATAATTACAATGAAATACAAGATTGTAACACATGGCTCTTTAATATGATAGTAATACAACATAAATTTCTTGTCTAGATGTATATAAATTAAAGCGAATGGGTAGCAAAAATTAAAGTGAAAACTCCTTTAAAAACACATCTTTCATTCTGCATCAATCATCGAGACTTCGAGAGAGTGGTTAACCACGCTTTCGAAGCAATTTATTCATCTAATAAATAGAATCCAAGCTAACCGAATAGGAATTAAGAAAAGGTAGAAGCTAAGAAGAACCGTAAGTAAGCTCCTAAAGAGAGTTTCTCAAAATTGGATCTCGAGAAGTAGAAAACTTCCTTTAACGAATTTTTTTTCCAAACTAAATCACGATAAAGAAAGAAATAACATACCTTTTTTATATAAATATTTTATCTCATCTTCCATCAAAACTTCATCCTCCATCGTCATAATGTTGCGAGCTACCTCCATGTTTTCATTCACTAAAAACAACTTTATTAGTTGTTAGTTAGTTATGAGTTGGGTAGATTCATAGCAACTTTAACTTTAAATTGTTAATAATCATTTCCGATTCTCCCGTTTTCTATTTTAAAAGTTGAATAAAAAATAACCGAATATTATAAAAAAAAATTTAAGTACTAATTTTAAATTTTAGTGGTGATAACTTGTGTAATCTATAAGTTTGTTATTTGTTATAGACATAGATTTAATGAAGAATATGAATCACATCAAGATTAATTAGGTGGAATAACGAAATGGAATTAGAAAGATTATATCACATGGATACCTTTGATTCAAGCACTCACTTTGTAACAGGCGTTTGGTATGAGGGATAAGGATAAGGAGGATAAAAGGGTGGGATTATGATGGAGGATTAGTAGGTGGGATATGGATAAAAATGATGTTGTCCTTTGTTTGTTACGAATTAAAAATTATATGGGGATAAGCAAGAAATTTATTGAACTACCCTTACTCATATTTATCCTCTTTTGTCCTCCTTTTCTTCATTAAGGGTAAAAATGTATTTTTATTGTTTTGGAGGGATAACTTGAATTTTTATCCATATCCTCACGGCTCATATCCTAAATTATCCCCATCCCCCTAAACAAACAAAAGAGTATTTAAATCCCCTTCCTCTTATCCATATCCTCTTCTTTTTATCCCTCCAAACAAACACCTTCTAACTGTATATGGATAAAAATAGCTTTTGATTTAACGAACAAGTCTTATTTTATAACCTTGATAAACAAATTATGTTTATCAAATGGCATTTTTGTTAATAAATTACATTGAAAATTCTGTTTTTTGATTAAAAATATATTTTTACTGTTTGTGGTCCCCTATGACAAGTTGGACAGATTTTTGGAGTTAACATCGTTAACTCACCATTTGCCACTATTCATTTTCTTCTTCCTCCTACCTTTTTCATGTTTATATTCTTCCTCTTGTTCATATTTTTTCTTCCCGCCCACCAATATCTTTTTCCTCCAATCTCTGCCCACTTTCACTTCCTCTTCCAAATCCGTTTGACACTATTTTCTCTGGCGAATTAAACAACCAGAAAAATTAAACAAAAATCTTATTAATAAAAGGAGAAATTAATGACATGGTTAACCCTAAAGGGTAGGTGAGTTTGTCTTTTTCCATTAAATATGACTTCGTATTACCATTCTCGGTGGCAAACGAAAACCCAAATAACAAAGTGATAATAACGAACATGGTTAACCCTAGAGGGTATGTAAGCTTTTCTTCCTCCATGGATATCACTTGTTTGGGTCATAGTGAAAAGGGGCATTTTCCACCATTGATTTTTTTTTTTTTTTTTTTTTGTAAGTAAGCGATTTTATTGATTAAAAAATCATCACTTATACACCAAGTCCCCTTAGGGAGCAAACAAAAAGGCTAAAAGAAAAGCCTAACAACCCAAAGAGATGCCACCTATACAAGCTTCTCTATAAAATCCCTATTAGAAATTTTTAAGTACTTAGAACTAAGACCTAACAGCCTAGTTCTAATAGCAAACTTTATAGTATTTACAATAACAAGAATACAGGAAATCTTAAGATCCCAAAGAGTTGTATTTCTTGCCTTCCAAATCCAGTAAATCATTACTAGCAATCCCATCCTGATAATTCCTTTCTGGAATCTGGTCTTGCCTGCTTTATCCCTTCTTCTAGCTGCTCTTAAAGTCTGACAAAACTCTTTACCAGTCAGAACAGAAGCCACATCCTGCAGAAATCTTTTGTTGTAACTGCATTGAAAGAACATATGTTCATGAATCTCTGCATGATCACCACAGAGTAAGCACTCAGTCTTGGTATTAGCCCCAAACTTGAGCAGTCTATCCCTTGTTGCCAATCTTCCCTGCACAGCCAACCAAGAAATGAATTGGTGCTTTGGAATAGCCCATATTTCCCGGACAAAGTTACTCCATCTATCTCTTTCCCGAGTAGGTTTCATAAGAGCATAAGTTTTACTTATTTTATAAGGATCCTGCCCAATCATCCTCATATCATACACACTGCTCAAAGATTGCTTCATCTCACAAATTTTCTTCCAATACCAACTAGTGTCAGCAGCAGGCTGATACTCCAACATTGAAATTGAAATTGAAATTGAAAGAAATTAAAATTGAAGGTTGAAGGAAGAGAGAAAACAATAAAAGGTTGAAGGAAGAGAGAAAACAACAAAAGATTGAAGGAAGAGAAAGAAAATCTGAAAATACTAAAAGGTTCAAGGAGGTGAGAGAAAACAACAATTAACCAAATATTAGATGTAATTTACATAAACATCCCTTCATAAACAATTTTTCTATCAACATTATAAAATTTCTTCTATCTATTAACTATTACTAAAACAGAGTATGCTGACATCACCATTGCTTACTTGTCTCTCTATTAATAAAAAAAAATCCTGCCTAAATTATAAAAAAAAGACTTTTTTTTATTAAGCTATTATATTTAACATTTTTAAAATTTAAATATTGGAAGCTTCCACATTACAACTAAAACCTATCAATTTTTTTTATCTTATAAAACTAAAATTATGTTAAATGACATACTAATAAATGACCTCCTACGTTGAATATGTATTAGTTGACGTTGAAATGTTGAATCGTACTATTACCTCCGTTAGTTATTATTTGCAACAAAGAATATTTTATGTCTCACAAATAATACCTCTATGTAACACAAAATACTATAATAATTAACGGAGTTAGTTGTAAACCATTAAAAATTTAAACTTGTAATATATAATTAAAGAGGTAGAAAAATATATGGGAACAATTATTTCATTGATAATTTACGGGTTACAACTCACGTAGATATCTTGATTCCTCTCTCCAAAGGGTTAGGATTTTGATATGTGTTTATAGTACGGGGTCTTGTTGATTTATTTTGTTTTATTAGAGCCTCATTTAACCTTAGAAACGACACTCTTTATATAGAGAGTTGTAGAGTAATTAACAAGATGATAATTATATATTCTACGAGTTTTGAAGATAATTATCTTATGTTTTTTTTATATTAACTCCTAATTATAGGTGATCAAGTTGGGCCCGCCCCGACCTGACCCGATTTTGAGTGAGCTTTGGACAAATTTTTTTGGCCTGAAATCGGGTCCGGCCTGATTTTTTTAAATTTTTGGGCGGGCTTGGGAAATCAATTTTATGCAATTTCAGTTGATATTTTTGGCCCGGCTCGAAAAGCCAACATAGCCTGCCTAGTTTGTACGGGTTTAGCCACACATTTTCCGGCCCGAAGTTTGGCCTGACCCGATACATGGGAAGATTTTTTTTTACTTTGGCCCGGCCTAGCCTGTCTATTGATCACCTCTACTCCTAATCATATAACTAATATATAAAGCTAAACTTTTAGTCAGGCCACGAGACAACGACACTTGGCGTTCTAATTTTTTGCCAAGTGTCGCACCACATATGACAAATAAGCTTAAATATGACACATATGACATTAGATAAGAAAATTTAAGATAGTTTTAGGATAAAATTTTATTTTAGAGTTTGATTTATGCTAGGACTTTTAATATTCCATATGTATAAAATAGATAAGTGGATATAAGATAGATTTTTTTAGTATAAAAAATTTATTTTAGAGTTTTATCATTGATAGGACTTCCAATATTATATATATATATATAATAGATTATAACATTAAAAAAAATATGTTAATTTTTACATCCATTTATGATATATTTTAATCAACTAAAACAAGACATTGAAATTTTACATTTTAACTTTTTGCCAAGTGTCCGTCAAGTAAACAGCTAATAAGAATTAGATGGCATACTCCCTCCGTGTTTTTTTAAGTGTTACACTTTTCATTTTTGACCGTATTTTTTTAAGTGTTACACTTCCTTTTTTAGCGAAAAGCTACATTAAAATATAATATCTCTCTCCTCTCATGGTCCCCACCCAAACCCACTACTACTTTTTATTATATCTTTCCTCTCACATTCATTGCTTTTCAATAAATTATTAACTCCATCATCTTTCTTTTATAGTTTTTTAATACTCCAACTACCCCATTTACCTCTTATTTTATTTAAGTCAATTATATTGTCTAAAACTATGTGCCGATCAAACTGTAACACTTAAAAAAACACGAAGGGAGTATACTGGGTGTAGACACCAATTTGTGTCTCCCCAAAACCAAACCCGGTGATGAGTACCTTTCACGTCGAATCGTAATCGAATGAAGTGAAAGTGTGGAAAGTTTTAGTGTTGCGGATAGTTTTAATTTCTGTTCTCTTCTCTCTGTTTTTGAAAATCTATTTTAAGAAAACAGTCAATCCAGTTTGGTTGGTCTATGATATGGGTCTAATAGTAGTGTAGTTGGATAGGGTTTGAAAAGAGCTTTCCAACGATATATTATAAGCCCAATTCCGATGAATACTGAGGAAGTTATGGCCAAATTACTAAACTGGGCTCGGTTTGAGCCTTATATGCGGCCCAATGATCTAGAGGAGGGCCTAATATAGATTTATCATTCCTAATGCAATTAGGAATGGTTTTAGTCTTTTAGATTCTTCTAGAAGGTTCTTTTCATTCCTAATTCAATTAGCATTGATAAATTGACTTTTGTTGACTTTTTAGAGTTTTAATCAGAATAAAAGAATGTTTTTGAGGAAAATACGATTTTATCCTCCTGTACGATCAATTTCTATCTGATTTGAGAAAACGCGTCAATCATTTAGTCAGCGCCAAACGACAGCATTAGCGCCTGACGCTAAGCTTGGCGCCTTGCGCTAGCGTTAGCGTCTGGCGCTAGCACTAATGTCAGCGTCTGACGCTAACCTCGTTTTTGCACGTTAGAACTCTGTTTCGATTTTTTATCTTTTTGGCTGATTTTCTCTATAAATAGTCTTCTAAAAACTCCGTTTTCAATCATCAATTCTCACCAACTCTCATCAAGAAATTCTTAATTATTCTCTCTCTCTTTTCTAAACTAGTCTTTTCTCAAATACAAAATTCCGCACTCACAAGACTTAGATACACCTAGCCATATTCGAAGTTGCCTTCGCCCTAGACGTGAAAGGTTTTAATTTCTGAGGGTTTGGTCCCAAATCTTTATTTCAATATTTAATTTAATTGTTTTAATTATTATTTTCCTTGAAGTTACTAACGTGTGTATTTTGTTATTAGAAAGAGATACGAGGCATCCAAGTAAGTGCTTTAATGGTTTTATTAATATTGTGATTTTTGGACATCATGTTTAGGTTATTATTTTGATTCCTAGTATCATGTCTAGGTTGTTATTATGATTCCTATTAGTATTATGTTTAGGGAAAATGTTATAATATCAAATATGCTTATTATGATTCCTGCGATGCTTCCTATTTTCTTTCATAATATCATGTTAGTATCATGTTAGGGCTAAAACTTTTATTTTTAATGTTTAGTGACATGCTAGGGTTTGTTATTAATCTTGTTAGTATCATGACTAGGGTCTTGCTATTATTATGCTTTAACATGATCATGTTAATTATGATTATAATTGTTATAATTTATGATCATGATTATTTTTATTATTATTTTTAAGATTTATTATGTTGCTTGATATTCATTGTTATTGCTTGATCACACCTTTTATGCATGTTTAAAGGAAATTTGTACTTGTAATCACGCTTATTGAGATAATTAATAATCTTGTTTAGGGTTAATATGATTATAATTCAAGTGATCGCCAATAATAGTTTATTTGTGCATTAATATTCAACCACATAGATAAACAAGTTTAGGGTTAACCTAATAATTGCATGTTAGTCAGAAAGCGCACATGAATACGATCAGAATAAAGTAGAGGCCTATTATTAGGGCAGGTTCAATCTCTTTTAGGTTGGATTTGTACCTTAATCCCCGAACTACCAGTCATGGTTCCAGACCTATTGGAGTTGACGATCTCTTGGATCGTTAAGGGGTGTAACCTTCATCTCGTGAACGGTGTACAGGTTCCTAAAACTTTTTGGCAACTTTTTTTGTTCTATCTTCTTTCCCTTTGGACGCCACCGTACTTTAGTGTATGATCACAGTGGGGTTCAAGCTAGGGGTAATGCTTGAAATATTCCCTACAGTTTTTGGCAACTCCGCTGGGGAAGATTTCTATTTTAATTCCTGAATTTATTTCGGCAATGATTTAGAATGAGTGGATGAGACTCGAAAAGTTCTAAGTATTTCATGTGCGTAATTTTGATTAACATTATTGTCATATGAATAAAAAAGATCTCATTGGAAAGGCCATCCGTAATGAGTTAAAACATAGGATTTTTACACGTAGGAAATATGAGGAATATCTTTCACAACTAGGATCGAAATAACATTGCGCGAAACTGGAAAATTTTATCGAGCACAAAAATCTGTTGAGGCATGTAGGAATTAGCGTCAGCGAACAGAAATTAGCGCCAGTATTTTGACTTAAGCGCCAGACGACAGCTCTGTCGCCAGGCGCTAAAGCCAAAAGCTGGCGCCAGCCTCTGTTTGCTGGCGCAAAATTCTACCAATACCGAGCCAGAAATATGCGTTCTAATTTCGATCAGTTTTTGGCATTGTTTGCTCGATCCTACTTCCTAATTGAGTTTTTCTCACTTTTCTGAAACCCATATGTGTTCTACATATGGACATAACCCTCTGGCTCCATCTACCTGATTGAACGCTCTGAGCAACAAAGGGTACATCCGTGAATGTTGAATTCACCAAACTATGGAAGCGAGTTTTTCTAAATTCGCGGTGTCCCATCCACTCGCGCCAACCCTTCACGGTTAGGCTTCCACGCGGTGCATCCGGACAATTAACCATGGACCCTCTTTGACTAACCCATATCCCGAAATTTAGAGAACTAGAGCCATGGTTAGGTTGCAAACTCATTGCATCATATTATGCCTACTTGACTAATTGTGCATTATTTGTTGTGCATACTCTATGTGCTTTTTATAACTGTTTGTTTGACTTGTGTTAAGACAAAATAAACTGCTTAATGGCTAAAAAGACTTAGCTTAATTAATTAATTAATTAATTTTGGTAATTAGAGTCTAATAATTTAATCAGAGATGACTTAGTACGACTTTAGGCATACCCTGTAGAG